ATCTGAAAAAAATGTCTTATTAAACAGAAAAAGAGTAAATAACGGAAATATTTCTCTACGGGGACGAAGAAATACAATTGATATAAGAAAGGCGGTAATTATTTTAGCAAAAACTCCTACCGCTGATAAAGAGATCGAGCTTGTTCGTATTGATACAAAGTCTTTCTATGTACCAATTATTATATAGAAGGACTGTGCTAATGGAACAAGTGGACACGCGATTGCGAAAAAACAAGTAATTTAAAACAAAGTACCATGAACTATTCTTTATATTAAATATTTTGATATATAAAAAAAGAAATTTTATTATTGTGATAGCCAACTAACTATACAATTGCATATTTCCTACTTATCAATCATCTTATACTTATTGTTGTACAGTTTGACTTTCATAGCTAGTAATTTCTTATCCAAATGTATTATTTTTATTATTATATATATTTAATTCAATCAATAGGTTTAGATTTACTAATTTTTTTTTTTTTACTTATCTCTCTCAAAAATCAATATTCTGAACAAGCTACATTATTAAACTATACAGTAACTTGTCTATAGGCTATACAATTTTTATATTTGATAGATTTTATAACTAATAATTAATTAATGCATATAAAATAATTACAAAAATATATATCATGCGTTATAATATACAAATTTATTTAAAACATTTTGAAATTATAACTATTTACTAAGATGCCAGCATAATGTTTTAGAAAATCAGGCCATTTTAGACGTGAAAGGGCCAAATTATTTACTTTTTAGGGGCCTCCAGTACATTAAAAACAAAAGAAAAACAGAGTTAACAAATTATATTATTTTTAAATAACAAATTAAGATATTTCTTAAAATACAAAACGTGTAATTGTGATGACTGAGTTAAATGACTCTGCTTGTCTCCACTATCAAAGGGCCTACATTAAATGTGATAAATATAATATTTCTATCGGTGTAAAGATAGCAGCAAAGTATCCTTGATGTAGTAATTAAAATGTACAAGCCAAACTTTTTTTTATATAAAATAAAAATTTATGGAAATGTATTTTTGATCTTTCTGTTATTTTTCAAGAATTATTCATAAAATCAATATATTTTATTAATATTTCCTGGATCTATTATATTTAGAAATATTATTTTAGATTTTTTAAAACTATTTTATATACCAGTAGTCATGTCATTGGATTTATTCTATTATAGATTCCACAATTGAAATCTACATTATAATTTCGCAATTTTATTATTTATTCAATATAAACAATAATAATAATGCGGTAATGTAGACCCAAACTTCTATATATATATATATCAATTTCCTATTTTACCTTTTTATTTTGTTTCCTTATCTTAAGTAGGCTAAGAGCACGAATCGGTCCTACAGTATATACTCTACACATCTATAAAGACCTATATTCTTTCTTTGTATTTATGTAAATACGTGTTTACATAAATCTGGTTTTTTGAATTATTAACTTGATGACGTTCAATCTTTATTAAATGAATGGTATAAAATTTGACCAGGATAGATTATTGCTTAGCTCTACTTCAGCCTCCAGGCGCTAACAACAGGAGGTTGGCTGTTAGATGCATACTCTGACCTCATTTATTTCGTTTAATAATCTTTATTAAATTGTATCGCCTTATCTGAGAGCACTATACAGGTTCTAGAATCTCTTATGTTTCTAGTTTCCAACATAATGATTGTCTTGGATAAAAGGATTATTGTGAACTTGCCGTTAACCTAAGAACATCATCTTGAGAAGAAAAGAAATGAAAATCTGTTGTTTTGAATCAATGACCTGTATTTATTTTCTCTGTCACGAATTTAAAAGCGTTAATATATTTATTTATTAAACATTTTTCACCGAACTAATCACGTAGTTAATGTGGTTAGCTCATTAGATGATTGCAAAATGTGTAGTTTAAATAGGCCAGATTTCATTAAAATATCATAATATCATATAAAATCTTAATTTAAAATTGCTTAAATTGCAATATTTCAAGTTAGAAAGTAAAATTTAAAGTGATATTTTAACTTATTTTTATAAATTTTATCAATAATCTCATCTGTAAATCGATCTAGCTCACAATTTACGAAGACTTTGATGAAGTAATAAAAGTTTTTTAATTTGCATAAGCATTTAAATTCCTAATTAAGATGTAATGAATTCAGTAATGAAAGATTAAAAACAGATCATTTATGATTAAGTCGGTTCCAATTTTTAAAAAAATCAACATTTCTTTAGGATAGGAATTTTAATTTGCAATCTTTAATCAGACAGTATTATTTAATACTGAAATAATAAGTAAATTTAGGCAATTATATATATTTTCAAGTACTTGATGTGTAATTTTAATTTAAATATATAAAAATAATAATATTCGGTAAGAAAATTAAATTAAAAAATAAATAAAATATGGAAATTATAATACTGAAGAAACAATTAAAACGCGAGGGAATTTTTTGTGAAAATTTTAGCGAATTTTCTGAATAAAATATGAAAATTTGTTGTATAAACTGAATTTGTACAGAGAAAATTTACATATACAAGAATATTCAATATGCAGAAAACTACAATTGTAAAAATTCAGTATTTTTACTGTAGTATAATAATTTTTCCTTATCTGCATACACCCAATATCGAGTACAGATATCTTGTTAGGATAAAGGAAACAATGCATACCTGCTGAGAATAAAGTAGTTCATTTTTATTGTTTAAAATGTTACGTAACAAAGTCAGTTTTCAAAATACACTCGCTAAAATTAATTAAACTACAGCTAATAAAATAATTGTAAAAACAATCGAGAAGATAAGTACAATTAACATGCAAGTGACGAAATATTTCAATTTTAAATTGCAATTAAAATAATAATGAAAATACATTATTCTTTTTTAAAAAAAAAATCTAACAAATAGACTTTCAAATAAAAAAGGCAAGATACTAGAAAAAGGATAATTGTGTGTGACTAGTTTAAATGGATATTTCCGTCTTTTAACAATTTATTACGTATCAAAAAGATTCAAGGAAGTTTTCACCTTTCAATAAGGTGATGACCTCATATAGAATCATATGTTATGCAGTCTAAAAATGAATTTCCTTTCACTAATTAGGTCGAATCAACACCGTGTGTTCGACGGATAGACATTTATACGGTCCAATGCAAGAAAACTTTGTTCATCTGATATTATGTCTTCACAAAAACAGAGTTTGAAGAATGTCGTAAATGGACATTTTTATTACTCTGATGCTTAACCGAAAAAAAGAAAAAAAAATCTTAAATTGTTACCTTTATTCTCTTGTCATTTCTACCGAATAATCTTTAAGGATAAACGATATAAAATATTTTTTTCCCTTACATATAAATTAATTATAAGAAAATGATTAAGTTTTTTGTGTGGTTAATAGCTTATTTTAGTTCTTAAATAATTTTTATATATATTATCAAATTAATTTTTAGTTATATCAATGTAATTAGTTCCAATTGCGTGCGAATGAATATAAAAATATACCTTATAAATTAATAATTTAATTAATATTTTAATTAAAAGTTTTATTACTATTTAAGTGAATATTTTAAACAAAATCCCCACGTTTTACTGAGTTAAAACTATCAAAAATATAGAATATATCGGAGAAAGAAGTGTTAAATTTGAACTGATAGATTCTGTAGAATGAAGGAGAATTGATGTTATTAAAACTTAATATTTTCAAACTTTTACCAACTGAAAAACATTTCTAACATTAATTATTAAAGTAAATAATGCCACCAACTTTCACATGATAGAAAAAAAATCCCTCCAACTTTGTTCATAAAAAAAGTTTTTCAATGGCTTGATAGATTCTTTCTAATATCTTAAATGAATTTAACAATTTATTTTTTTGAAAATAATAAACTTTTCTAACAATAATTAGAAACAAATTGTTTTTTTTGCTTTGAACATTTACAAAATTTAACGAATGATTATTCTATGAATATGAAGTGTATCTGAGCAAAGTTATTGAAGTAAACTAAAGTTTCTGATCGAATCAGTCGAATCTTATTAATTGCTTGATCAGCTATGTTTATAAAATTTAGGAAATAGGGTGAGAAAAAGACTTGGTTGAAGTAATATAAAGAAATCGGAAGTTTCGTATGAAAAAAATTCTCGATTCATTGGCACGAATTGAAAATAGAAAGAATTTTTTCGAAATTATTGATGATGTTTTTTTACAATGAAAATATTGTCATTTATAAAAATTGCCAATTAGAAATAATTAATCGCGTGACGAAATATTTTGGATCATTCCGTTTTTGTAGTGAAGTTGAACAATTGCATGGGGGTTAGTGCTAAATCAGACATGTCCATTCTGTTGCATCGGATGACCACCGATGTTCGTCCATTTCCTTCTTTCCTTTCCATTGATTTTTACAGGATGCTCCCTAATAAGTCTTTCGGGTATTTGGATCAATTGTGCACTAATATTTTTACTTGATACACCTTTTCATGCATGAAATTCAATGACATCCGAAAGCGAAAGTTGAGCAAGTTCACAGAAAAATCAATTACTCGAATTTTTTAAACATAAAATTAAGACTTTATATTGAAATAATATAATACATTTTAATAAAATCTAATATATATATTTTTTTTATTTTAAAAAGATAAATACAGTAATAACTTTTTATTTTTATTTTCAATTATAAGATACTATCATTTAACTTAAATCCCTAAAATCTGCAGTGAAAAAAATTCCTTAAATCCCTTAATTAATTATGTTTAAAATTAAAATGTATAAATTTATATATAAGAAATTTATTAAATTTTATGAGTTTTAGAAAATAAAATAAAAAATTTTTACTTAAATAATGAAATTTTCTAAAATGCTGAATTCTAAACGACATTTAAAAATAAATTTTAATCGAACAACAACAAAATTCGGCATTTAACTGGAATAAAATCGATCAAATAAGGAAAACCGTATTGGTCAATTTGAATGATCCAACCGACGCCTTCGTGTTCCTCTGTGACGTCACCACGACGTCAATAGATCCGTGAACCGGACGAAAAATGTAGAGCATAGCCTCGTACAAGTATAAAACCGAGTAACCACGTGTTTCTTGTGTATTATGAGATTTCTTCGAACGCATTAACACAGGTAAGAGTTTACTGTCTGTAAAAGAAAAGTCTTGTCAGTTAATATTTCGAGTTTTTATCGTTAGAATTTAATTATTTTGCATTTGTAATGATACATAAATTAATTTCTATTTGTTACTGAAATGTTATAACAGAAAATATATCATTTTTTTCGGTTTAGGGTATATTGCATTCGATGTGTTGACATTTTTATAGGCTTATTATTAAAAATAATGTGATTTTAAGTAAATAAATAATTATAATTAATTTTTAATTGAATCGATCTTAAAATTTTAATATTATTTCTCAATTGAAAAAAACAATTACAGAAAATTTCGAGTTTATCATATTTCCCAGTGAACATAAAACGGTTTTTCTTTTTAGGTCTTTTGTATTCATTGCTCTATTTATTGTCCTAATTTCCTCAGGATTTCCTCTTCGTAATCAAATTTATCATGTTTTTGGCAAATTTTATTTAATTAATTGTACTTTTACTCTGAATTATGTAATTTCACTTTGAGATTTATATTATTGTGCTTCTTTTACTTTTTATTTTTATTGTTTTTTTTTCTCTGGGAGTTCATCCAATTGATAGATCTTCTTCAACCGAATAATTAAGAAACGAAGACAATTTATAGAATTATCATCCGTTTATTCATTTGTACCTGCCTGTACAACCGTTGTTGTTGTACCGTGACTTTTATAGAATTATCTATATTATTAATCATTACAAGAATTTCCTCTTTATTCCTAAGGAATTTTTATAAATATTTTATAAGAATTTTACTTTATAAAATCACAAATTTATCTAAAAATGTTTTAAAAATTAAGGCTCTTTTGTAAAGCTTAGTTCTTCAGTAAAAATCTTTTTCGCGTGTATATTTCTCTTAATTTTTTACCATTAATTACTGATGACCATATGTTAATGAAAAACCGAGCTTCTTCAGTATAATCTCTAATTGATCAGCAATGTTCTAATTTTAATTTGTAGGTCATTGTCTTCTCTATCTCGGATTGTCACGATCAACAAGAATATTTAGGTTTCTCCAAGGATAATTAGGTCTATATTTTCGTTGTACCACTGAAGTCGTGGTTCTTAATAGCAATTTCCTGTTTGACCATTTTTATTATTTATTTACATATCTATTCATATTTTTCCTCCTACAGATAAAATTATTGATCGTAGCATGTGACTGGATTTCTCTCAAGATGCCTTCTTTATGGGCTGCGGGCTCAGCTTTTATTTTATTTACAGGTAAGTTGCTAAATTGTTCTACTTTCTTTTATATATATTTTTTATATAAAAAAAAATCGTAATTGTAAGTGAAAGCGGAGACTATTGTTTAGGTAATTGGTACTTTTATTGCTGTTAGACTTCCTATAGTTTGACTGGTACTTCCTGATTACGGTATCGTAAACATGAAGAAATTTACACCGTGTTTTTGCAATATTTTAAACGTAAATAGTTACAGAGATTTATATAAAAATTTTTACTAGAATTACTTCGTAGTAGTTGCCTACGTGGACTCACTAAATAAAAGGATACGCCCTATCGCATGGCTTGTTGTTGACATGTGTTCCAAGCACATTGTGGTACTCGGAAGTTCTCCTTGTCAATCTGTCAAGGTTTTTCTTAGTTACAGGCAAAATATAAAAAATTGAAATATAAAAATCTGATTTTTTAAATTGAAAAATTAATTATTTTTTAAACTGAAACCTGACAAATCATTTCTTTTATTAAATATCATTTAAAATTATAATTAATACATCTTTATTAAATGGTATATTCTTTTTTTCACTTACTCAAGATTAATTTAAAATATTTGAAATCATTACAGAATTATATTATAGTTAAAAAAAATTGTAAATAAGCTTATAGATTCACACACTTCTCCGAAACAATTGTTGATAAATGTTATTTTTGTGCACGGTTTTAAATTTACTTTCTTTGATTTAAAAATAGAATGTATCAGATAAAATTACAGACTAAACTATACAAAAGGGAAAATATACAATAGCAACCTCTTTATTCTAAAAACGTTTGTAATAATAGATTCTGAAGATATTTTTGTTAGCTTTGTTAATTCAATTTTTTTTTAAAATTAAATTTAGAATATTCGTATAAAATATAATAATATTTTAAAAATTAAAAATGTATTTAAATTTTAATAGTTTAGGCCTATACCAAATATAATTTCTGTATTTAGACATCAGAGAGACAATTTCGTATGACAGATTGATGGTACCTCTAAAATTTTGAGGTTAATAAACTAGATCTAGAAGCACATTTCTGTGATAGACCTCGTTAAAGCTTTCATTGCATTCGTTAAGCTTTTAATATATTTCAGGAGTCAAAATATTTTTGAATATTTAAAAACTGTTTTATAATTTCTAATGATTCATACTTTTTATTTAAATTATCCTCTTTTCGGTCATTGCTATTGATTATTACGATTCATATTGAAAATTCGCTCTTTAAAAAATTACTCAGAGTGCAACGTACGATTTTAGGGAAGTTAATATTTTTGATTTACTATTTTTCATTTACGAAATGACTATTTTTCTTCTAAAAAAAATAACTAAATTGTAGTCTATATAATTTATTTATAGACTTATAACTAGCAATATTACGTTCTAAGAATTGGAAGCACTTGTGGATAATCTGATAAGAAATTTTAAATTTTATTTAATAATTTATCTTCTTCTTTTACTTAATTTTATTACTTAATTTTATTACTTAATTATACGTTTACTATATTATAACTTGATATTCTGGTTCCTTCAACTGTCAAGATTATCTTACCGTAAGGAAATTGTGTATTAAAATTTCATGGATCCAGGAATTAATGAGTTTATAAGAATATAAATGGATGTATAAAGGTGTGGCATTCAAAATCTAAATATATATATATTTGTACTATTTTAAATCTTGAATAGAAAATTCAAAAATTATTCATCAAATGAGGTCACATACCATAAATATTCACTTGTTCATTCTAAGCTCTCAGAGTAGAATTACCATTATTCATTGTTTCTCACGATTCTTTTTAAATGAATATTTTTATTTAAGTTTTTTAAGATGTATCTGCTATCCAATGTCTAAGAGAAACGTTTTTATGATTAATCAATGGAAGTGGGACAGAGAATTTTTGTATATTATTAATTAGAAAACACATTTTCATTGAATCACTCGAGCGTAACTCTATGAGATTTTTAATTAAAAGATATCTAATTAAGATAAATAAAACTTTAAATGGCAAGAATTGGAAAGGAAAGTATAAAAAACGATTTCCTTTACGAAAATATTAATATACAATCATATCTTTTTCAGCATGCATTATTAGCGGAGAAAATCAGACAAAACAAGCAAACAAAGATGATCTAGTAAGTATTGTATATTCATTTAAGCATAAAAAATTTAAAATATCTTAATAAATTTTCTTATTTATTCGTATAATACATTTTAAATAATAAGTAACTTAATATATAGTGTCATTTGTGATATTTTTTTAACATCTATAAACCTATATTCTTAAGGAAATCGTCAAAAAAATTTAACGTGTCTTAACGCTATTGCATGCGTTTAACGATTTTCGATGCGTAAAGAAAATGCCATGATACTTTTAATAAACATTTTCCGCTATTGAGTTATATCATATAAATGTCAAATGATAGGCAAAGAACTAAAAGTAGGCTTGTAGTCAACATCGTTTGTTGACCTTGTTGATTTTAAGAAATACTTGCGAACCAGAACGATCCTAGTTACGTTCCACTCTGCTTCCCTGTAATAATTATTTAACAAAAAAAAAATTAAATTCCCGTAGTAAATTAATATTAAATTTTATATAATTTATATGGCAATAAAGATATAAAGAATGATATTAATCAATATTAATGAAGGTTTATCAATTTCCTATTATGTAAGTATCGATTTTATGACTCATCGCTTTGATGGAATTATAAACAAAAACCTACAGACTTTTACCTTGAAATTTAACAAAATAAAAGGAGCAAGGTAAGATATTATATTATTGTTCATTCACAATTGAAGACTAGAAACTGATCAAGATAAAGGTTTCGGTTCGTTAATTCTGGATTCTTGGACTATTAGTGATTGTTCGTGTTTAGTATAAATGATATTGTTTATTTGACAATTATCTTATAACGAAGGACAAATAACTTTAACTAAATGTCTTCCTTTATGACAAAAAATAAGACTGTATAGAATACATTATTCTATGAAATAGTTCTGTAAAGATGATAACAAGGACACAAAATACGGAAGTAAATAAATAGGTCACTAAAATTCTAATTTATTCGTAAAAATAATTATGTATTTGATTTAAGTAAAAATCTGATAAGAAGGACTATCTCTGCCGATATCAGTAATCTGTTGTTATTAACGTCTTTCTCGCGTATTATTATTATTTATGAATTTTTAGGAAGCTTATCTTTATGTATCAATAAACAGGAAAAAATTAAACTTGATTAACGTTATATTAATGCAGTTCAAGTTTATATATATATAATTTAATTTAGTACAAAAAATAAACTAGTCTGAATTAACCTTGATATGTATTTATACAATCGCTACTTTGTGCCTTGTACTTAAAATGAGTAATGTCGAAATACTATTTAATATAATTTTTATAATTATAGAAAACTTTTCTGACGTCAAGGTAATTTGAATAAAAATAAATTCAAGTTATAATCTTATTTTAATTTTGGTAATTTCTTTTATATTGTTTCTTAATTTCAGGTTGCTCAAGAAAGTACTGATAATAAAGATGAGAAAAAAGAAGATAAACTTACACAAATACTACCTCATGTGACTTTTGATTGTGGTGGAAGGACTGAAGGATATTACGCAGATATACAATTTGATTGTGAAGTTTTCCATTATTGTAAACCCAATGGAGAACGCTTTACATTCGTTTGTCCACCAAAATCACGTTTTAACCAGAAACATATGATCTGTGATTACGATAGGTATGGCATGAAATTGTGTCACACGGCTGAGAAATATTTTAAGTTGAATGAGAATTTATATCCGAAAACGGAAGATGAAAAAAATGCGAATCTCAATTCAACTCCTCGAGTAGAAGAAGCACAACAGAATAAACCATCAAAACCTGTTGAAGAAACCAAATCCGAAAAACCGGAAAGTAAAATAAAATTACCGTTTCAACCACGGAATAGAGAAAATAAATTCAAGAAAACATTTATTGTAACCGAATATTATAACAAGCAAGATTTATCTACAACTCAAGCACCCGTAATAGATGATGCATCTCCTACTGTTTACAAGTGGTACACACCACCCGTTTTATCAAAAGACCGCGATAAATATAAGCATAAATATAAATATTCCGATTATTATCCAGATTATTACATAGATGAAGATAATACAGAAGATGAATCGAGTGAAAATCATGATTCTGAATCCGAAGAACACGAACAAAATGAAGACGAATATAATACAGAATCTGAAAATAAAGATAAAACGGTTACAACCAGTAAATACAGCGAAGAAAATCACGACAAAGATGAAAAAGAAACATTAAAAGAAGAACCTGAATCACACAATAAAAATATTCATAATAATCAAGAAGAGAATACAAAAACAATAAAAGAGGAGCCTCAGAATTTAAGAACTTACGATCAAAATATAGAATATAATCAGTCACCCCAGTCAGCTAAACACGAACCATCTCAGGATGAATACGAAGATGATAATTATCAAGATCATTACGAACAAAAAGACAACACGCAAAATTTAACTCCAGTTAAATCTTATAAGAAGAACCAAAAAACAAAACGACCACAATACGTGTACAGAAATCACCACAACAAACAAAATTCCGAAGATGTCAGTAGACCTACAATTTACATACAAGATAAATATAATGACCATGAAAATAATAAGGAAGTCGATCAGTATGTGCATGTTCCAGAAAAAGAACAGGAATATAACGATTATCACAAATCACATGATGACAGGAATCCCGATAGGTATGATGGACGTTATTCAGATAACAAGAAACCAATACAATCTAGTTATGATTCAAGAAATGAAAAACAAATAATACCCGAAAGGATTCAACAAAAATCTCACGTACAAATTGAAAATCCTATTGTAGAGCATACTACTGATCCTACAGATGGTGGAACAGTTAAAACAACTACATTTTTCCACCGATATACGAAAAAATCGGAACAGCCACCTCAAACTATATTGTACGAAAAAGTTTCTGCAAGTACCGATTCACCACAACAAGTCGAATATGAACAGCTTCCAAGACAACAGAATTATCAAAAACACTATGATGATAATGCTCAAGTATATATAGAAGAACAGGAACCAGAACAATATGAAGACGAGAATAAAGAAACTCGCCGTCCCGTAAAAATTAAACTTTATGTAAAGGGAAAACCACAAGAACAACAAAAAGAATATTACGAAGAGGAATCCGATAGTGATTATAATGATAAAAGCAGAATTCAAAAGTCACATCCTGTAGATGAAGTGCATTATAAAGTCAGACAAGAAGAAAACTTACCTGTAAGAGAAGAAATCGTTTATAATTCAGATCAAAGATCTCAACCCGTGGAGTACGAAGATTATGATCAGGAGGACGAATCACAGAATGATCAAAATGTTCCTTATGAACGTGAACAAGTACGAGAACCGTATGTGAAAGATCTAAATGAATATCGTCCAAATGAAGAAGTAGAATACAGAGAAAGAAGACGACCAGTAGATAAGCCTGCTAGGCAAAGACAAATTTATATCCAAAGTCAAAGAAGTCGTACTACAGAATCACCAGCTTATCAATATCACAGAGAAGTTCCCACATCAAATAACAAGAATGTAAAACCGAATGATCAGCAAAACGCACAATATGTTTATTATAACGAAGCTCGAGGACAATACAGATATACTCCTTCAGGAAAAGTAAGCTCTTATCAAGAAAAACGTCTTAAAAACGGAAAAGATGTGACTCATGAATCTCCAAATTCTAATTCCAATGCAAAAAAATATACAGTAAATCCTACTTCACAGCAACGACAATATAATCAAAATAGGCCTAGGTATCAAGAGAGAAAATCTGAATATAACCGACCTCATAGTACACCCGAGCAAAGTAAAAGTACAGAACGAAGAAGAAATCGAGATGCTCCAAATCAGCAGCAGACTTATATTGACCGGTTTAAATTCAGAAGTATTCCCGAACAATCACGTACTTTGTATCAAGAAAAATTTACAAAGCACGTTAAAGATCAACCAAAAGAAAGTTATGAAAGTACTCCAACATATAATCGAAAGGCTCAACATGACGAAACTACTCATGGTAATGAACAGAGACAACAAGATAATCCACATCATCATACTGAACCAAAAAATCCTCAAACTAAAAAATATAAAATAGTTACTAGACGTCAGAAACGGCAGGTTGCATCAAGATTACCGCTTAGTCAACAGTTTCAACAGTTACTGAATAAGTTATATTCACCTCTAGAATCTACATCCCGAAATGAATTGAATAATTTCCGAAATTTTATTAGTAACACTGTTCCTGTTGCAAGTGCAAGCTCGTCTCGTAATCAGAATGATTTCAGAAATAATGTTTCTCCATATCATGTTTATCCCCCTTCTGCCTATTCATATGCAAATGCTGATGTTCCTCAAAACAGACCCTTTCATAATAGAGCGCCTATTTATTCCGAGCCATCTTATAATCTCTCTCCAAACCATTATTATCGCCCACATGAATTGCCTCCCATCCCTCCTCCAAACGATTATTATTACTCTGCTGGTAATGGAAACAGAAGTAACGATTACCCATCAAGTTTAGAATCAACAGAATTCGAAGATAAACCGTCGAGTGACGTAAATGATAACTCTTCACCTCCGTCACAATCCATAAATCATTCTGATGAACAAAGAGACGATATAAAGAGGCCGGAAGATTCTTATAATTCTCCCGATAATCAGAAATTGCCAGAACTTCATGAATTTCCATTTTTTAATCCGGATTTTCCATATAATCAAGGTGGAAATAGTTCGGAAAGAAATCCTCAAAATGTAGATTTTCCATATCTTAGAACACAAGGGGATAATTATCAGATTCCCGATTTAGGAGTGTATTTTGATCCTTATGGAGAATTAGGCGTTACACCTTTATATGATACAACAAATCGACCAAATAATAAGGATCATTCCACTGCTTCCCCAGAAAACGAAGAACATAGGAATACCAATTCTGAAAATCGACCCGAAAATCAAGAATATTCTAATAATAATGTAAACCAAAATCGTGAAAGAGGGAATGATCAATCGGGAGTACAATATCACGTAACTCCTCCATCATATTTACAAAGAAATAGATATACAACACCGCCAGTTTTATCTTTATTCGTTACGCCACCCCCATACGTTAGAAATAACCGTGTTCCTCCAATTTATGGAGAAGACTTTTTTAATCCTCCAATCAGATATCCTTTTGAACCTTCAGCAATAACAACAACTGAATCGCCATCAACAGATGATACCACAGAAAGGTATATCACACAACAAGACAACTCTTTAACAACTCCCGAACCTACTACTCAAATTCCGGAAATCCCAGTTATAAGAGCATCGAAAAGACCTTATCGTCGTAGACAAAAAGTTCCAACAGAACCGAAAAATCAACAAGAACTTGTAACGCCTTTACGAACTTCTTCCAGACCTCGACCAGCTCCAGATCGATCTGCATCTAGATTTAGACCTGAACCTACAATACCTCCGGTTCGGCAGCAACAACCACCAGTTAGACACCAACCTCCAACAGTCAGACATCAACCACCACCAGAGAGACATCAGCCTCCTCCAGTCAGACATCAGCCACCACCAGAGAGACATCAGCCTCCTCCAGTCAGACATCAGCCACCACCAGAGAGACATCAGCCTCCTCCAGTCAGACAGCAGTCACCACCAGAGAGACATCAACCGCCACCAGTCAGACAGCAGCCGCCACCAGAGAGACACCAACCTTCACCAGTCAGAACTTCTGCTAAACCAAAACCCACTGCACCACCTCCTAAAACACCTCCGTCAAATTCGAAAGAATCTGATGACGATGATGTAAATCCTTTCCGAGGAAGCGTACCATTTGGAACACGATTGCGTCGTCCACCTTCATCAACACAGAAAAGAAACAGCGAGTCAAACGAACGTAATCCAAGCGCTTCAAATGTATCTAGAAGAAAAAGAGTTCACCAATCAGCAGCGAGTGACCGATCTGTGGCTATATTACAAGAAAGTCGAGATAGAGTTTCTCGTCAAAATGTACAAAGCATTGAACGACCTCCTCAGCCTAGAAGAGCGAGTCACCGTTTTAAAACAACTAACAAACCTATAATTACAACCTCTTCCATACCCATCATCATCTCTGAAAATCCAACTCAGCAAAGCGATCCCTTCATTTACACCAACGTTCAGCGTTACGCGGAAGACCAACAATTGCCCGTTAGGCCACCAATTTTGAGAGAAGATTCTCGTTCAAATTCGCGATTCGTACCAAATAACCAAGAAAACAAAAACCGCAAAAGAATAAAACCAATTAGAAGGCGACTTAGAGTGCACCATCCCAGAAGAGGTTATCAAGAAACAACAGAATTTTCTACAGAATCGACAACGACAACGACGGAATTATTAACAACTCCATTAATTACTCCAAGCACAACAATTACAGAAGCAATTGTGACAAGTACAACTCAACAAGAAGTTTCCGAAAATCCGACTGAAATTCCAAAAAAACGAGTGTACACATCACGCCACGGTGGTTCTTTGCGAAACGAAAACGTTATAAACCGCTTAAAAACGAAACCAAGACTTTTCACATTCGGTCGACCAACTTCTGATCTTTCTTAAATTATTCTATTTAAAAGAATATTTTAATAAATCTACGCTTGAAAGCATTACTTAACCAATTTTTTAAAGCTTCACAGTGATGTTTTTCCTATTAAATTAATATAGATAATCCAATTTTTAAAGCGAACCATTGGTCGATATGACCTGAGATAGTCGTGCAAAACACTTTTTTATGTAGAGTGTTTGTTTTAAAATAAAATTTATTTTAATTTTTGTATTGTTTTAATATAAAAAGTATATTTTAATAAATTAATATATTTATATTTTATTTTGAATTATCTCTGAAAATACACAAATCTTTATACAAATAATTGTTATTAATAAGTTAAATATTTACTAACAGATAATAATAATAATAATTAGTTTTTATAGTGAAAATTTAAATTAAAAATTTATAAATAGAACTCCATATTTGCAATTAAATTCAAATTTAGTATAATGTATTTTAAATAAAATTTTATTTCTACTTTAAATACAAGGTAATAAAATTAACGTGTTGAACAAGTTTCTGTAAAAATTAAATTAAATTGCATTTTAATGAATTGCATAAGAATTGCATTTTAAAACATTGTTTTGTTAGCAAATTGAAATCTAAATTTTCTTGAAAAACCATTTACTGTTAATTCAAGCGAGAGAATATCGAATAAAAAAAAAAGAAAAATTCTAATTAGGTTTTAATTAAAAGTCAAAAATAAATTTTCCTGGTAAATTAAATGGGAAAAGTAAAATAAATTACGTTGGTAAGAAAATTTAATAGAAAAAAAAAAACAGAAAAAAATTCAAGGAAATATTTATTAGTGGGAAAAAAGACTCGAATTACTTTCGTATTTTCCGTTACCATCGTAAGAAAAAGGGACTATTTAATTAAATATGAACAGGGAAACACTTAAGTAACTGTTTCCTAGTCGACACGATTTCAGGTTTCCGAATAAAAATGAGTAAATGAAATAATTTGTAGATCTGTAATGCAATTTTTTCCGGTAACTTTTCATTTATCAATGTCATAAAAAATAAAATAATTAGATGATAAATTGTATATAAAACAAGACTTCTAACAGCCGACACATTTAAATTCTTTTCTGTTATTTGTGAAAAGTAAACGATATAGAAATTCAATTAATTTTCAAATGAAAGTGATATTTTGTTTGTAAAAATTAATTTGCTTTCTAAGAATTACTTACATAATTTTTTAATACAATCAGTTTTTATATTATTTATTTATCTTATAAGACATAAAATATCATTTTAAATAAATTAATAAGAATGTATTATGTAATATGTTTTATAAAATTTGTAATTTAAGGTGTTTTATATTTATTAAAAATATATTTATATGATAAAATACTTTTAATTAATTAATATTTTTATTGTTTTAAAGTATTAAATGCTTTAACATGTATTGTCAAGGCAGATACAGAAAATCGGCAATTTGATATGACCCGAACACAGAAGATCTCAAGTTTCTTTTTAAAGTAAAATCTCTGATATTAAAATGGTATATATTAAAGTTTCTCTTGATAAGTGATGAAAAATCTTTACTTCTTTTATTCATATATTTTATGGCTTTCGAAGAGGGTGGAACATTATATTTGTGAAAGTTCGAACCCGTTTCACGTCCTTGAAACCTTGATTTATTTCTATCAGATCTGGTGAAACATCGTTTTGCAATCATATATAAAACAAATGTAGAAAACAATAACCTGTTTATAACTGTCATTTTCCTGTATAGATTGTAGATTTTTATAGTAATCTAATTATTAGACAAAAAGTAAACAAAGAAATGCAAGTTTCATTCATTTATTTTTGGTTTCTAAACGATTATGGTGTGTAAAAAGCATTTGTTTTATTCATAAAACCGACTTGTTACTTACTCAGTTTTTAAGGATTTAACAATAATTTGTAAACTATTTTTAGCTGTTTCAGACTAGAAAGCATGTATTTTTATTAATAACATGCTTACAATATTTTACGTTCTTACACTGAAAGTATAACACAGTAAACAAAATACATTTCAAACTTTTAAAAAAATTGTTGTGAATTTGTTTAAATCTTTACATGTATTTTTAGAATTGTTTAAATTGTTATTAGAAAGCGAAATTGTTTGGAAATAATAATAATAATAATGATAATAGAAAAAAATAGAACAGAACAACGAACTTTAATTTAATCAATCAATTTTTTAATTAAAAAGCATGCAGATAGAAGTCTCGATGACAACTTAAGGAGGACATTTTAATTTTAGCACATTAATTCACATCAATTTCTGTAGATTCAAAATTAGATTTTCGATAAATTAGATCATTGAAAATATTATTCTTCCAGAATCTTTTCTAAAATTTTGTACGGGTAAAGGAAATTAATGTATTAAATGCGATAGCCAGATAGCCGAGGGAGTTAAGGAGTCAGCTTGTATCCAGGATCTGAAATCAAATCAGATCCTGGATACAAGATCCTTTTTTCCGACTATATCGGCGACGTCCTTCACCACCCATTTGAATTTTCTATTGCATTTATTCATTACAGAATTGGATAGTTGTTCATCAACAGAAATTGTTACATTAAGAAATACATAATTTTTTTAAGAAAATAATTACGGGTATTTAGAAAACTTATACATTATAATTCAAAATTATGTAAACTCAATTTAAACTAAACATAAACCACTAAACCTCAGATTAATTTATTTATGAGAAAGGCCGCATTATCGAACTTGAGGAAAGCAGAATAACAGTCTCGCCGAAATGCCCACCATCTAAGACGCTCTGACTTCGCAGTGGGCTGGCTGGTGGAGCAGTGGTATCCAATTGCCGCAATACTTGATCACACTGTCAAGGCAGATATGTTTGGCGAGCAGGATCTATACGTCCCAAACAGACCAAGAGGACAAATGATCATAAGACAACCGAGAATCCCTGTTATGTTTGGAAACGGATGACTATCTAATTGTTAGAGAATGGAGAACCACTAATGAGTGTTTTACTGCTGTTGAGCGGCATATTACTTGCGCTCTGCTCTAGGGTGCCATCTTCTATGACAGTCGGCCACCTTTAATAGTAGTATGAAGACTTGATGGCACAGTGGTACATTCAAGAAACCTCTCGTATGTTACTTTTCATGGACTGTAAACAGCTATTTTCTAGGAAATAATGGTCTGTCTCATACAGGAATGTGTCGTCACGTTTCCACACTTCCTTGGCCAGGCCTATTTTCAAATTTGTCGTCCAAGTATTTGTGTGACCAGATTGTATGCCAACTTCTACAAACAGTAGTGTAACTAAAACATGTAAAGGGGTGCCCAAGTTAAAATTTAATACGAATCACTAAACATTTTAATAAATTTTCGCTTTTAATACTTACTTAATGGATTACTGTATAACATATATGGATTGATTGGTTTGTTCGATGGGATACTGCAAANTTGTTTCCTTATCTTAAGTAGGCTAAGAGCACGAATCGGTCCTACAGTATATACTCTACACATCTATAAAGACCTATATTCTTTCTTTGTATTTATGTAAATACGTGTTTACATAAATCTGGTTTTTTGAATTATTAACTTGATGACGTTCAATCTTTATTAAATGAATGGTATAAAATTTGACCAGGATAGATTATTGCTTAGCTCTACTTCAGCCTCCAGGCGCTAACAACAGGAGGTTGGCTGTTAGATGCATACTCTGACCTCATTTATTTCGTTTAATAATCTTTATTAAATTGTATCGCCTTATCTGAGAGCACTATACAGGTTCTAGAATCTCTTATGTTTCTAGTTTCCAACATAATGATTGTCTTGGATAAAAGGATTATTGTGAACTTGCCGTTAACCTAAGAACATCATCTTGAGAAGAAAAGAAATGAAAATCTGTTGTTTTGAATCAATGACCTGTATTTATTTTCTCTGTCACGAATTTAAAAGCGTTAATATATTTATTTATTAAACATTTTTCACCGAACTAATCACGTAGTTAATGTGGTTAGCTCATTAGATGATTGCAAAATGTGTAGTTTAAATAGGCCAGATTTCATTAAAATATCATAATATCATATAAAATCTTAATTTAAAATTGCTTAAATTGCAATATTTCAAGTTAGAAAGTAAAATTTAAAGTGATATTTTAACTTATTTTTATAAATTTTATCAATAATCTCATCTGTAAATCGATCTAGCTCACAATTTACGAAGACTTTGATGAAGTAATAAAAGTTTTTTAATTTGCATAAGCATTTAAATTCCTAATTAAGATGTAATGAATTCAGTAATGAAAGATTAAAAACAGATCATTTATGATTAAGTCGGTTCCAATTTTTAAAAAAATCAACATTTCTTTAGGATAGGAATTTTAATTTGCAATCTTTAATCAGACAGTATTATTTAATACTGAAATAATAAGTAAATTTAGGCAATTATATATATTTTCAAGTACTTGATGTGTAATTTTAATTTAAATATATAAAAATAATAATATTCGGTAAGAAAATTAAATTAAAAAATAAATAAAATATGGAAATTATAATACTGAAGAAACAATTAAAACGCGAGGGAATTTTTTGTGAAAATTTTAGCGAATTTTCTGAATAAAATATGAAAATTTGTTGTATAAACTGAATTTGTACAGAGAAAATTTACATATACAAGAATATTCAATATGCAGAAAACTACAATTGTAAAAATTCAGTATTTTTACTGTAGTATAATAATTTTTCCTTATCTGCATACACCCAATATCGAGTACAGATATCTTGTTAGGATAAAGGAAACAATGCATACCTGCTGAGAATAAAGTAGTTCATTTTTATTGTTTAAAATGTTACGTAACAAAGTCAGTTTTCAAAATACACTCGCTAAAATTAATTAAACTACAGCTAATAAAATAATTGTAAAAACAATCGAGAAGATAAGTACAATTAACATGCAAGTGACGAAATATTTCAATTTTAAATTGCAATTAAAATAATAATGAAAATACATTATTCTTTTTTAAAAAAAAATCTAACAAATAGACTTTCAAATAAAAAAGGCAAGATACTAGAAAAAGGATAATTGTGTGTGACTAGTTTAAATGGATATTTCCGTCTTTTAACAATTTATTACGTATCAAAAAGATTCAAGGAAGTTTTCACCTTTCAATAAGGTGATGACCTCATATAGAATCATATGTTATGCAGTCTAAAAATGAATTTCCTTTCACTAATTAGGTCGAATCAACACCGTG